TGGGGCTCAGGGTCCCAGACTTCAGCTCCATGTGGTGGGGCTTCAGCCTTCTGCCCTGGGCCGCAGTGAGTCTAATGCTGGCCCTGCTTGGCGGCCCCCCTGAAACCTGCTCGCAGACCCCTGGGGGCCCTAGTTGAGCACCACTGATCTAAAACACTCCCCTCACCACTGACTAAAATCAAGAAAACCCTTCTGGTCTCACACCACAGCCCTCCTTGCAGAAGATAAGGACATTCGCAGAAGATGGCCTGACACCTGGGCAGCTGCCGAGATACCAAACAAAAATCTCATTGACAACCCAACTATGCAAGTGTCGGGCTTCTCCTCCCCACGGCGCGTATGGACAGCTCTAAACCGTATCTGCACCCGACGTGGAGGATGCGCATACTTACTCCATAGATGGAAAGTGAGGAAATCGCCGAACTGTGACTGTGGCGTGGTGCCAACTGTCAGACACATCACGGATGACTGCCCCATCCATGCTCCTCCTGGAGGTGTCATGGCCATTCACATGGCTACCCCCTCTGGGCTGGAGAAGAGACCTTAAGATGCAGCTGCAGTCATGCTGTTGCTTTCACGGTTCCACTCTCGCCATAGGAAAGAAGGAGGGTATGTCTACACTGCACTTGAAGGTGTGACCCTAGCACGGACAGGCATACCCAGGCTAACTTCCATCTAGCTAGCACTGGTAACGATAGCAGTGTAGCCGTGGCAGCATGGGCTTCAACACGGGCCAGCAACCCAAATACGTACCCAGGATCCCAGCTGACTTGGGAAGCTGGGAATGAGAGACAGGGGACGGATCACTTGATTACCTGTTCTGTTCATTCCCTCTGGGGCACCTGGCACTGTTGGAAGACAGGATACTGGGGTAGATGGACCTTTGGTCTGACCCAGTAGGGCCATTCTTATGTTGTACGCTGATTGCCCATACCGCCCCATCTACACTGCTATTGTTACCTGTACTAGCTAGATAAAGAGGGGCAAAGTAGATGAGAGTGGAGGCCTGATGGGCTGGGTAAGGAAGAATGTTTGATGGACAGCAGTCCTATCTAACTGATGAGTTAACATAAAACTGTGCCTGTGCCTAAAGAGAACACCAGTATGGTTTATAAATCAGTATCTCTTATAAATATGTATCACATTTTGAAAAAAAAACAAAACAAAAAACAGGTAGGTAAACATACAACAGCAAGTTTTCAGCCAAACCTAATACGGCCTCAGTAGCTGGACCTCGGATACGGCATCTTGCTGGTGCTGGTATCATGCAGATCTTAGCTAATACAAAGCAATATGCATTAGACAAGATGTTGGGTAAGGCAAAAGCTGAAAGTGTCCAATGTGAGCTTTTCACACTGCATTAAAACACACAAATCAGGTTTAAAGCAGTGTTTGGGTAAGTTAGAGACAAAATCCTAAGAGCAAAGGGTTTTTGTTATTGTGCTTTAATATTAAACTGTTCCCACAATTTTTAAAGATTTCAGTGAAAAACTATTTCTGGATTTAACCACTCCCCTGGATAGTGTTGTAACCCCATGCGTGACAACTTGGTACTAGTGCAGGAGACCCAGAGAGACACTGACCGCTCTCATCTTGCAGTGCAAGCTGAGTAAAATGTGAAGGGTAAACAGAACGAATGGCTGATGATTAATTCAGCTTCTAAAATTATTTCTGCTCCGATAAAATAATTGTCACCACAGCAAAGGACATCTTACAAAATTGTTAGTCTGAAAGGGTCCTTTTAATGCTAATGTCAACAAGCTCGGAAAAGGAACTCTGCTAAATGCTTCAGGACTGATCCAAACCCCACTGAAGTAAATAGGAATCTTTCCATCAATTTCAAGGGTCTCTGGACCAGCTCCTAGCAGCTTTTGTTTTGAAATTGCAGAAGCTGCAAGCTCATTTAGTGAAGTTACTATATATATTAGGCATGCTGCAATATCGAGGCATAACAGAAAAAGTAAGGAACATTAACATTAACTTGGGATTTATTTTATGTGTAAATTACTTCTGCATGGCAGGCATAAGGGTAATATTCATAGGAAAACAGCTCCACTTAGTCATTTATTTGAGCAGACACACTGAGGACTTAGTCTCTGTCCTTGGGAACTTTAGCATGCAGATTCCTTACACAATAAGCTGCACAATGCAGCTTTCATGCATGCAACACCAAAGGCTCAATCCTGCTTTCTGGTGCACTGTGTACATCAGCACTGATCTTGAAAGTTCAGCTACTGTGTAAATCGCAGATGACTTTCCAAGATAAGTGGCAGCAATGTGTGTCATACAACAAGGCAGGAATTAACCCAATCTGCTTCGTAAAATTCCTTTGCAGAAACATACAGCTTCTTAAACATTTCTCTGCAGATTTTCAGCCCAGGGTCTAATGAGGGTGTCTGCGGTGCCATGCAGAGTTAGACAGAAATACACCAATACAAAGAAAACTGCTGAGATGACCAGAGCATCATGCACGTCCTTATTCAACACGACTCGAGTGTTAGATCAACCAAAGCCTCAAGTGTTCCTTTGATTTTTAAAATTAAATGTTTAAAGTTTAAGAGTCATTTGAGTTAAAGCACAAACCTCTGAAACGGTTAAATCCAAAGGCAAAGATTTAAAGAAAAAAGTTCGCCCCCTGGCTGAGAGATCATTAACAATTTTAAACCTAGTGCTTTTCTCCTCCCAACAGCCAAATAATGAAGTCTCTGCAATTAGACTGCACTATAATGGAAGCCGTGACACTTCAGCATTGTTCTACCAACAGCACTGCTGTCATAAAGCTACTTCTGAGTAAACATTACTGCATTTCTGTGGTTCTCGACCATTGTCAGTAATGCCACCTAGTGGTACAAATACATAACTAAGCCTATGTACTGTAGGAACTGAAGTAACACGTTCAATAGCCACTCTGCTGCCAGCAGACTAGACCAGGAAAATAAAAAACAAATGTCTCTTTTGTTAAGTTTTTCTGATTCGCCTTTCGCAAATCAAAGCGGGTATTTGCAGCCTAACATCAGGACTTCCTTCTGCCCCAGTGACCTGTTCAAGATGAGAGCAACATGTTCACATACCATCAAGTCGCTGTAACCATGAAACGCTGATTATCCAAATCTGTTCAGAAAGCCACCAAAACCTGGCTGCACACTTCACCGTATAAATTCTATCCTCAAGCTCTTGCTCAGAGCCTGGATTGCTAGATACTAAATGTACACATAAGGTGCAAGAATGCAAACAGGTGGAAGCCCTAGTAGTCTCACTAATCTCTAAGAGAGTGGAGTTTTTACTGATTTCCTTTGGTGCCTGCATGGTGCACGTACTGCGTGATAGTTCTGAGTCTTGCCGGATATACAGCTTGGTTTAATAGACGAGTTTGTTTTTCAGAACCAAAAATACATTGTGATGGAAAAGCCAAAAAAACCCTCAATTGTAAAAGCCAAGGCTTCCCATAGTATTCTCCAGTGAGTGTTAGACTCGTACCCAACTGCGTCTGTGGGTCCTGATCCAAAGACTAACAAAGGTTTTTGGATTAGACCACTATTCAGTTTCCCACTGCACCTGGTTTTATAAAACCAACAGGCAGAGGTGAGAAGCAGGCAGGACAAACCTAGAGGGGCAGTGCAAAAATTAGTATGTATTTTTTCGTAAGAGGAGGTTGGTAGCAAAAATAATGGAGCCACGATAAGGAGGAGAAGAGAGAAAGATTAACCGTTAGCAGGTGTTTAACAGCATAATTTGTATTTCTACTGTACAATGCACAGAAAAGAAACCCTTCCTAATAAACTGCTTAGTTGCCCAGAAAGCTTCTCATGACTCTCATCCACAGCTCAAATGGTAAGACCCAGTGCGCCTCTAGTGATCAATGCTTGGCATATATATGCCGATTACCCCTCCAAAGTGCTGTATGAACCTCAATGAAGGGGAAGAAAATGAAGGAAAAGACGTTTAGGGTGAATCGGAATGATTCTGAACACAGATCTGGTTGGAAGAGGAGCAGTGTCCCAAGGGAAGAGGAGGAAGCCCTGTCGTTCAAGTCACTGACAGCCAGAAAAGGACAGTTTTTCCCTCTGTCATCTTAGTTTTCCAGGCTAGACCCCGGCCTATATTTTGAACATTAAAAAACAAGCAGAAACTCCCTTCACTCCAAAAACCCCTTTTGGATCTTTGTTGTCCAGCCTAGAGTAAAGAGGGCATAAGCTTAACTTGTTCCCCCTATTTGCAGCTACACCTTAATGCATTCATGATACTCTTTCCATCCCACCTTGAAGAGTCACTTCCAATTTTATTACAGGGCCACCGACAAGACACCAGGACAGGCTCTTCTCTTTCCCAAAGGTGAGAACAGAACAGGAAGAATGCACTGGAGTTCTTAATCAACACTATTAAATGAACTGCAATGTTCTACCAAACAAAAGGGGAGTAAAATAAGTAGAGATATCTGTGATTCCATTGCAAGAGAATAAAGTGAGGGTTGCGTTTTTACTGAAAGATGGAACTGTCAGTGTCTACTACTGATGAAAAAGCTAACAAAAAAGTCACTTTGTAATCTAGTCAATTTCAGAAAGTGAGTTAGTAATATCAGATGCTCTACTTGTCCTTGTGACTCTGTCAGCTTCTTGGTTTAAAGACAATAGTCTCATTTTTAAAATAATTTCTCCTCTCTGCTGTTGCTGGATGAAAGACCCACTAAACCAACAGGCAGGGGAAATTGAATACAGGAGAAAAGTGAAAATGACAGTACATAAAGTGCTGTAACATACAAAGTAAATGGGAAAAGTTTTCATTTTTGTCTATTCTTGTAATAATTATAACCTTGCATGTTAATTGGAGGCAGACTTGCAGACAGAAATATGGTTTTAAGTTGATGGCGTCTATCTCGGAAAGTCAGCTCTTAGTTTCTAACCCAGAATTTTTAACATTACCAGGGACAAGAAGAAAAAATACAAAGTCAGGTTGGTAAATAACTGTTGTCTATTTTCCAAAAGATATGTCCAACAGCTTACCGTGGCTGTAACTTTATCCCAGTCTGTTACAAAGGCACGAAATCCTTCTCCAAACAACGTACCCGCTGTCCTGCAGAAAGAGAGCAGCAGTGTAAGGAGAGTCATTGGAGTATATGGCAGGAAAGGGGGAAGGATTTTAAGTTTTAAGGACAGAATTGCAAGCAGCTTACAAGATTACTCCAGTTTCCTGGATGACTTTCTTCAGAACCAGTCAAAACTAACAGAGTTCACACAGGAACCCGAACATACAGGGCAAATATATTTGTAATCGTCTGGTGTATCTGGGGTTAAATCCAGAAGAGCTTCTGGACCAAAGCTAATATGTTTATTTTTTACTCACTTCATTCATTCATTCAAAGCACTTCATAAAAATCAATGAATTAAATCGGACAACGCTCTTGTGAGGTAGGTAAATTTTACGTTTGTTTTGTAGGTGGGGAAATGGTCTCAGAGATTAAGGGTGAAACCTCTTTTCACTGGAGCCAATGAGAGTGTTGCCAAAGATTTTCACAGAGCCAGGATTTCACCCCAAAATGATCAGGTTAAGGTCATGCAGTCTGTTAGAGAACTCAGACTAGAATGCAAACATCCTGGCACCCAATACATGGTTCTAACCACTACACAATAGTTCCCCTTTCCACTAATCACACCTGGACATAGGGAAACAGCTCTTTTTAAATATGCTACTCTGGGGCAGGGAATAAAGGAACACCAGCAATAACTCTTTTCCTTCAAACTTGTGGAATCTCCCCCCCCCCCCCAAAAAAACAACAAAAACTCCCCCAACAACAAGGTTTTCTACACAGTCCCTGTTTGATGGGGGTAGTTTGAGGCAGTAGCAAGGTGACCAACTCCCCTCAGCTGGTTTGCACGTACTTGAGGGAATCTAACACTGTCTGGCGATGCTCAGCAGCTTTCAGGCGGATCTGCTCCCGAATGAGGTCTGCATTCTCACGCTCAGCCTTTGCGCGGGCTCGCACTTCTGCTTCGATACGCAGCATCTCATTCTTGTGCCGCAACTCCATCTCCCGCTCCACAGTGGCTTTAAAAGAATAAAGGGCTTGGATTTTACTCTGGGCTTTATCCCAAAACCCAGCTTTTGGGAGAGGGATAAATTCTATCAGCTTTGCTACATGTCAGATGTGTGTGACCTGACAACAGTTTTCAGTGGTTACCAGCCTGCCCGACAAAAGGAAGCAAATCAATGCAACAGCATGAAAGCTAAGGCTAGGAGCCTTCCCTCTAAGAATGAGGAGGTGGTCATCTCTAAAATATTTAGACAGGACTGCTGCAGGGCCACTGACATCCAATCCCTGCAGGCGCCAGGGGGAGACTGCACTCCCAACAACTGTCACCAATTGATATTTTTTCGTCGATTTCAGCGTGTCAGCTGAAATGTATATGCCAACAGTTATCAATTTAAATCAAATCCTGCCAAGCCGAACTATTGAACAATCTCCCAACAAAGCGCAGCATTTGAGATATTTAAAGTTAGAGACAAACACTAGAGGATGCATTAGAGGGGACAGTGCTGTGCTGGACTGCAGCAGAGGGAACTGGATGACTTTACAGATCTTTTCCACTTCGAATTTCTACATGCCTATAGAAAAAGCCAGGTCACAAACAGGACAGGCTAACAAGATACTTAAAATCAACACTGGATTTCACATGTTAATGCTCTAGAGAAGTCCTAGCCAAACACCAGATTGATTCTAATGGTTCCTGATTAAATCCGGAGGGCAGGAAATGTAGGAGTGCTGCATTACCTATTTTTACTAGACCACGAAGGGTTGGTGTATTGCAGTGTTCAGCCACTGGAGGCCATACTCGAGCGCTTTTATTGAAACAAAGGCTATCTATAGAAGTTTAGCCTTTCCCAGAAATGAACTACAGGCACCAGCAACTCCAAGAGGTCTACAAGAGTACACAGTTCTCAGTAAGCTGGGGTTTAAATCTACCCTGCACTGCCAACATGCCTTAACAGTTCCATAGTGCACTTTGATCTACTCCGCTTTGAAACAGGAGCAGATCAAAGTGCACTAGGGAACTGTTAATGTGTGTCAGCAGGGTCCACAAGGACAGTTCATTCGCAGCAGGCTAGTGAGGGTAGATTCACATCCCGGCTTGCCGTGAACTAAACGTTCATGTAGACCAGGGGTGGACAAACTACAGCCCGGGGGCCGCATCTGGCCGTACAGACGTTTTAATCCGGCCCTCAAGCTCCTGCCAGGGAGTGGGGTCCAGGGCTTGCCCCACTCCGCACAACTCCTGGAAGCAGCCGCATGTCCTCTCTCCGGCTCCTACGCATAAGGGCAGTCAGGGGGCTTCGCACACTGCCCCCGCAGCTCCCATTGGCCGGGAACCACGGCCAATGGGAGCTGCAGGGGCGGCGCCTGGGACAGGGCAGCGTGCAGAGCCACCTGGCTGTCTCTCTAAGTAGGAGCCGGAGGAGGGACATGCTGCTGCTTCTGGGAGCTGCTTTAGGTAAGCGCCGCCCGGAGCCTGCACCCCTGACCCCCTCCCCAACCCCCCGCCCCAGCCCTGATCCCTCTTCTGCCCTTTGAACCTGTCAGTCCCAGCCTGCAGCACCCTCCCACACTCTGAACTCCTCATTTCTGGCCCCACACCCTAACCCCTAATTTTGTGAGCATTCATTGCCTGCCATACAATTTCCATAACCAGATGTGGCCCTCGGGCCAAAAAGTTTGCCCACCCCTGGTGTAGACAAACCCTAAAACCAGCTGTGATTTAGCTGCTGCTTGCAGATCCTGCATTATGAGCCAGCCGGTATGTACTAGCACTCCAAATACAGTTCAGAGGTTGCTCTGAATAGCCACTTAATCCCCAACCAAAAGGGGAAACTGAAATACTACATTACCTCGCTTCATTGCTTCCTGCTTCTGCACAGATTCCTCCTGCTTCCTCAAGTTCTCTTCATTAAGGAGTTGCTAAGAAGAAGAGATCACATCAGAAGATGAATTAGCTTGGGAGAAAAGGCAAAACAGGAAGATGGAAAACTGTTGGGGATCTTAAAACAGCTAGTGTGTGTGAAAACTACAATCAACCTAATACACATGCAGACCTAAACATTGCAAATGCTCTGAAAAAAAACAAGACTTAAGAATTAAGTAGGTTCTTCTTTCAAAAACCCAAAGACTCAAATTCAGGATCTCATGTTCTCCCAGCTACTTCTTGCTCCTTTGTCCTATTTGCTGTCAGTTGCTTTTGCATCACACACAGACCTGCTAGGCTTGGAATGCAGAAACCCTGAGGCTGTGCAAAAAAAAAAAAATCTAAGCGCTCCCATCATAGCGGTGCATAGCATCAGTCACTGGGTCACGAGGGTGGAGCATAATTTAGCATCATTGCTCCTAGTGAAGTTAACACAGATTGGCTAGGCTCTCAGCAGTTTTAGAAGTTGGAACATCTTACCTGCTGCCGCAGCTGCGCTTCATAGCGCTGCCTTGCCAGGTTGTCCTGATATTGGGCCCTCTTCAAAAAGAAAAGAGAAAATGCATGAACATTAAGTACACAAGAAAAAACCCTGCTCTAATCAGCAACAAGACTAGAGTATATGGAGCAAAAGAGATCAGCCTGTGAAACAACACTGTCAATGTGTTAGACCAGGGGTTCTCAGACTTTTGTATTGGTGACCCCTTTCACACAGCAAGCCCCTGAGCGTGACTCCCCTTATACATTTAAAACACTTTTTTATATATTTAACACCATTATAAATGCTGGAGGAAAAGCGGAGTTTGGGTGGAGGCTGACAGCTCACGACCCCCCCACATGTAATAACCTCACAACCACCTGAGGCGTCCTGACCCCCAGTTTGAGAACCCCTGTGTTAGACAATCAGTCCTAGAAGAGCTTTGCTGGCTGAAGATGTAGGGCAGAGGGGGTTGATACATGAAAAATTAGGGCTAACGACAAATGGCAAGGATGTTGAACCTTAAACATCAGTTTGTCGGCAATTAGAATGAAAACTGAACTGCATTTCCCCAATTTTAGCATCACCGCCCCAAGAGCTGTTAGAATCCATTGGTACACCCCATCAAAAAGCTGCTCAAAAGCCAGCCCATAAGAAGAAAAATCAGTTTGTCAAATTCTGGGTTAAGACGGTAATTTCCTGAGATCTCTTTCCAAAGGGTTAGATTCCAGAAGACTTAAGAGAAACAGGGAAAATTAGAGGCAACCTGAGATTGCACTCCAAGTAATTTGGGGTGCATTTCATTGTCCAGCCAACAGACATGCTGTGTAAGCCAGTAGTTTTCAATTCTTTTCAAACCATGACTTATACCTGCAAGCAAGGATGCACCCCAGAATGTTTTACACCAATTCCCTGCAGCACTTAAAGACAATTCAAAGGCAGAGCCAAGGAACTGGTCCAATTTACTGGATTCTTTAGGGTGTCTGAGGGTCTGTTACAAGCAGCTATGAAAACCAGCGTCAACGGAACATCAGAGCTGGGGAATGAGGCGGATTCAACTGGGGATGTCCTCTCCTTAGGGACAGCAACCCCCAGGTGGAGAATAGCTGGTGTAACTGAATAAGCCTATCATGGTGTGTTTCCCATTCCAGCCAGCGATCATGTCTTACCGCTTGATGCTGTCTGGTTTCTTCACTTAGTGTCTTTCTTTTCTCATCTCCTTGTACCCGGATGTGTTCATTCTTCAGCTGTTCAATGGCTGCCTCATATTCCTATGAGAAATGGGTCAGCATCCATCAACTTAACACAAAAGCCTCCAGAGGGCTACAAATGACAATCATATTCTTCAAAAGAGTTTTCTAATAGGTTTCGGTTCCTCAGTGGGGTAATGAAGTTCTTAAGACCAGGGATCATATCTGATTCTGTGTTTTGCAAAGTGCCACGTACACATACCATGCTATATTAGAGCCTCAGATACCACAAACGAGGTACTGGGAAAATAAACAAATGTATTGCCATTGTGACTAAAATGATATTCTGGGAGCTACAATACCAATACTAACCACAAAATACCGTAAGTTCTTAGCACGGACATAAACCCCGTAAAAGAGCAGAAATTAGTCCAGCTGCAATGCTGCTTTCCAGACTCTCTTTTTTATAAATGATATGAAGTAATGAAAATGCAGGGAAAGGCAGTGAACTAAAAGTGAACTCCTCTGTGCAAGAAGAAATCAAAATATCCTAGGCAGATTGCTAGACAATGAGGGCCAAAATCTATCCAATGAAGTCAGCAGAGATGCAGTAGGCATGAATTTGATCCTGAGGCTTAACATACCTTAATTTTGGACTGCTGCTCCATTTGCAATGTCTGTTCCTGCAGCTGAGCAAGACTAAGAGCATCTTTTGCATGGCCTGAAATTAATAAGGTTGTTTAAGAACTTGTTTCTGTAGTATTAGATCCTATTTTTCTAAGCAAACTTGGTGCTGGTGAAAGTTGTCACACTCACAGCTCTAGAAACTGAAGTCTTCTATCCATAAAACTTTCAGTGTCTAGGCATTTTAAACACATGAATCATACTATGACCACAAGTCAAAAGGGCACTGAGCAATTGATTGCTTGATGTAACTATGCGCAAGAGCTGCCTGAAAGCAGCTGCCAACTCCAACTATTTCCCCGACGTTTAAAGAAACTACACAGTGTTGAAGGCATTAGAGAAAGGTGTTTTGTGTGTTATGTTCCAAAAATTTGTTGAGCCCCCGCACTTCTGGCCAGGAACCTTCATCACCCTCAAATGCTCCCAATTCTTTCAGTAAGGAAGATCAAAAACATTTCAGGGCTATTTTATTCCTCAAAAAGGAATATTTCAGGGCTCAAAAGTGTGTGCATTATAATTTGTTAATTTACACTTTATCATAATGAGGTGCTGAACCAAATACATGAATGAAAACGGGGGCCTGCTCACAGGCTATAGAGTCTGTCACTTCTAGGTCATAGATCTGAACTTGATGCAGGTCAGAGGTCGCACAAGGTTATTAGTAGCTAATGGCAGCTGGTTAGCCTGTGTGAATTCATTTGGTGGGGCCCAGCTTTTAATAAAACAGCTTCCATCAACAGAACTATCATTAACCCCACCAGTCTCTGCAGGAGCATGAAGAATTGACAGGCACGGAGACAAAGCTCCTTTCACTTCACAGAAGAAGTCTCTCCAAAGTAAGGAAGAGGCACATTAACTGAGCAACCTCACAACGCTGCCTGTGCAGTCCCTGTTCTTGCGCCGGACTCAGGGTCTCCGGAGCTGCGATTTTAGGCTGTGTCCGCCAGCACAACCAGGTAGTGAGGGATGGGTGTCGTGCCATCGGGACAGATTTTAATGCAGGACTAAGCTGGGCACTGGGGTGTGGGCAAAGGCGCTTAGAGTAAATTCAGCTCCACGCTGCACCTGTCACCAGCACCCCCCTCCCCCAGCTGGCAGGGATCCCCCAGCCTCGTACCCTCCCCCACGGATCTGCCGTGCAGCCCCCACGGGCCCAGTCATCAGCCCCCGCCATCGTGCCGCCGGCCTTGCTTTGGGGCACTTGCTCAGCCCCCGCCCCCGCGGCTCCGGGCCTCCCTCAATCCCGAGCAGCCCCCAGGCCCCCCCACTCACGGGAGGCCTCCAGCTCCCTGGCCGCCTTGGCCGCCCGCTCCAGCCCGGTGGGGTCAAAGTTGCTCCATTTGTCCTTGGGCGTGTGCCGGTCCCCGGCTCCGTCCCCCGCTGCGGGGCCGCCGGCGGAGGGAGGGGGCGGCAGGGCCGGGCCTCCATCCCCCGCCACGGGGGGAGACCGCCAGTTCGAGCCCAATATCCACGACATGGAGACCGCACCGCCGCCGGGAGCCAGCCACACGCGGACTAGCCGCCGCTTCCACCGCGCAGGCGCGGCACCGCCCTCTTTGCGCCCATTGGAGCAGACCAGCGGGGCATCACCAGCACGTGAAACTTCTCGGGAGTTCTGATTGGTGACGCTGGGAATGACGTCAACACGTCCCTCAGAGAGTCATGCCCTCGGTCACGTGATCTCTTTCCCTACTTCCGATTGGTTCGATTCTGGAGTGTGACGCTAGGAGCCAGCTTGGAAGAGTAATTCGATTGGTTATCGAGACCGCTGAGAGGGCGGGACTTCGAGGTCAGGATGGGAGGTGAGAAGGGACAAACGGAAAGGAAACAGGGCGTCGCTTCCGCCTAGCAACGAGAGTGTTGCGGGCGTCGCTAAGGAGGGGAAGCCGCCGGTTCCGGACATGGCGGAGCAAGCGCTGGGGGTGCGGGGCCAAGGAGCCCGGATCAGGTACGGGCCCGGGGGCGAGAGGGCAGGAAGGGCGGAGTGACTCCCCCATGGGGGAAGGGCGGTAGGAAGCACCAGGGAGTGATCCCCTGGGGGAGGAGGGAGGAACCCCAAGGATGTGATCCCTGCGGGGGCAGTGGGAAGAAGGAACCCGGGGGGAAGTGTAACCCACCCCGCAGGAGCAGGTAGGAACCCCCAAGGGGTGATCCCCTGGGGGTTGGGGGAGGAACCCCAGGGGAGTGTCCCTGCCTAAGTGTTACCCACCCCCAAGAGGGTGATATGGACCTCCCCAAGGAAGGGGGCATGAACTCCAGGGGAGCACTTCCAGGAGGCAAGGGGGTATTGGCCCCAATGGAATGATCCCCAGAGGGTTGGCGATATGAACCCCCAATTGAAATGTGCATGGTGTGAGGCCCAGGGCCCGCCTACTTTATTATAATACTTTGCCCTTCTCTAGCTCCTTTCAACCAAGGTGCTTGGCCCACATTAATGAGTTCACACCCACGAGGTAGGAAAGTACAAGTCCTAGGTACAGATGATGAAGCTAGTGCAGAGAGGAAAGGTGATTTGGCCAAGATCACACAGCAGCTTGGTGGCATGGCAGGCATTGACTCTAGGAGTCTGGGTTTCCCACCCTCAGTTTTGAGGCTTACAGACATTATACTGTAGAAATGGGAGGATTAACTTTACCATATTCACACTTTTGAGGAATTAATGAAAATGGACTAGCAGTGATTGTTTCCAGCAACAGGTAAGCAGCATCTTCCCAGCAAGAGACAGCGGAGAACGTAAAATTAATTCACTGTGAAATAGAGTCAACCTCTTGTAAAAAGAAATAAATAGTTCTGCATAATTTCTGTTCATTTATGACAACAAAAATAAGGTAAAGCGAAAGATAGTTTAATAACGATCAGGGTTCCTTCTAGTGTTTGCAGTCCAGCCCGATAGACCAATGATGTGTTAACACCCAAGTCCCAGTTCCTGCAGCACTGGAAAAGATAGTTGATATCTAGTGACCAAAGGGAACGTTTCAGAGAAATGAAAAAATCCCTAACAAAGCACCTGCTGATCAGCTCATACCTGTAAGCTTGAAAGTCTTCATAATATTTATTTTAGCTTGTATCACTAGAGGTGCTATTCCTGTTTATGCGCACTGTAACAACACTTTTTAAAAAGGTATCCTGGATAAAACAGCAGAAATGATAATTGAATGGCACAGATCAACACTAGCAGCCTTTGGAATGAGTGAAAGTATTTACTTTATTATACTATAGAGTATAGACACTAAGACAATGAAGGAAAACAAACATTCTATGTTCAGAGTGATCTGGAGTCTGCTCTCAGATAACCAGCTTTTCACAATTCCAACTCCATTGACTTAAATGAAGTTCCAAGTAATTTACATTGGTATAAGTGAGAGGAAGCAATTCAAGTCTGTTTCTGTCTTTCGATTTCCACAATAACCACCTACTTCAGAGCTGAGATACCACCGGATGCTGCCATTGCCAGCAGGGCTGGCTCCAGGGTTTTGGCTGCCCCAAGCAGCCAAAAAAA